CGTGGCCGACAGGGCTTGGGAGGGGCTGGCCCACAGGGCTGGGACTGGGAGAGGGGCTCGCACTGGGTGGGGACGGAGACGCAGGCGTGCACCTGCCACAGGTCTGCGCGCAGTAGTCACCGGACAGCATCCATGACTCACTGGTGGGAGGAAGGGTTGGAGTTGGGGTCAGTCTTTCAAATACACGAACAACCCTGCCCGCCAGCAGACGGCAGACTATGAATCATCGCCCAATCCAAGTTGACATCTGCTGCTCCAAGCCTCCAGCACAGGCAAGACAATGGCCAGGGCCCAGCGCATGCGTAGACATGCCATCCAGGCACCACGCGGCGTACTTGCACTTGCCCCAGCCGGCTTGCTGGGCACAGGTGTAGTCGGCCGAGGGCGGCACGTCCGTGCAGGCCGGGGGCGCCGGCGAGGGGCGCGGGCCGGATGGCGACCGCGGCGAGGCCGGGGGGCTGGGGGAGGAGACGAAGTCCTCGGGCAGCCAGGCGGTGGCCAGGGGGGGGCCGGGGGGGGCCACGGCGGGCGGGATCTCGTTGGCCAGGGCCGGCAGGGCGGGGCAGGAGGAGGAGAGGCTGGAGACGACGTTGTACCACCCGCTGAAGTAGCGAGTGCCAGGGATGAAGGCGCCTGCCCTGCTGAAGAACGAGCCCTGCGGTGGTTGGGGGGGACGGCGGTGTTTGCGCAGGGTGCTGAGAGGGTTGGTAGAACCACTGTCGCGGCGCAGACGCTGCATGACGCGTTTCCAGAGCAGGACGCAGGAAGCGGGACGTTCCCAGGGACACTGTGCGGCGTACAAGATGAACACCAGCGCCCCTCACCTCGGTCTCGGCATCGCCGGGGTCGACCACCTTGATGTACAGGTAGGTGCCTGCAAAGACGAGGGAAGGGAGGGTTCCCGCTGCAGATGTGCTGGCACCCTCGACGCAATGCACACAGCTTCCAGCCTGCCATGACTGGAGCGTGCACCCCCTGCCACCAGCCCCAGGCCCTTGGGGACAAATCAAACATAGCCCACGCACCATCGAAAAAGTAGGTGGACATGGCATTGCTGACCAGGGCGCTGAGGGAGGTGGCAGCGCCGATGTTCACGTTGTTGCCAGGGTAGTACTGGTACTGCCGCGAGATGGTGAAGGTCGTGCCTGGGGTGGATGGAATTTGAGGAGGGGGGGTATGGGTGCACATGGCTGGGCACGTGGAACCCTGATCACAGACACTCAAGAACTGAGTGACCTCTGTGCTCGCACCTGCCGGGTAGCGGGTGGCAAAGATGATGGAGGTCCCCTTCAGCAGCTGCGTCAGGTACAGCTGGAAGGTCTTGGGCGCGCCAGAGTCGATGTGGGTATACCACCCAGTGGTCCCTGCGCAAGGAGGGCGGAGGCGGCGTCAGCGGGAGGCAGGCGCGGGGAACCTGGTGTTCACAGCGCCGTGTGTGGTCACATCTCCGGATCTTTTGCCAGGCCAATGCCCGCGAACCAGGCACCCTGCAGCGTCTTAAAGCCACCCCGCCCTCACCTGTGACACCGGTGATGCCCTCGTTCCTCGTTATGACCATGCTCCGCGCCGCCGTGCCCTGGTACCCAAACTGGGAGATGAAGCCGATGTAGTTGCTGGGGTCGGGGGATGCGGCAGTGCCCGTGCCCCACTGGTTGGTGTACCCGGGGACGCGGAACTCCAGCCTTGCTGGGATCTGGGCGTCGCGCTGGGGGCACGTCCACGTGTTCCAGTTGCTCTGCAGGTGTCAGGGGGGGCCACGATGTGGATTACTGAGCCAGCACTGAAGGCGGTGGAAGGGGGTATGGGGATGTGGGCGAGCCAGCACTGCAACAAATTGTCATGGTGTGGTGCGTCGGGGGTAGACACTTCAGTTCTCCTGCTTGATTGGTAACTTCTCTACCAGAGGTGAGGGGCGAGCAGACCACCTTGCAGGCGACTGGATGGACACTCCTCTATCCTCGGTCCCACACCCCTCACCTGGAAGAAGCAGTCCGACGCCAGGTTCCACCAGGTAGGCCAGCCGCCCACAATTTGGGGTCCGGTGGACAGCGTGACGCTGCCATCCCAGTCTGCGAGCCGGAGACGAGGGGTTGGTCTGGGAGTGGCACGAGGGAGGGGGTGGGCAGGCGCCGCAGAGCAAGGACCCGGGTCGACAGGATCCACCTCACCCAGCAGCACGCCAGACCCCCCACGCCTCCTCACCAATGAAGTTGAACATGCGGGAGGCCCCCGTCTGCTTCACGTCCAGCCGCATGATGGCGTCGTAGTCCACGTTGACGTAGGAGATGTCCTTGGCCACCGACATGTACAGCGGCTTGAACTCGTCGCTGTGCGTCATGCTCTGCAGGGAGGTTTTGGTGGGGGTGGAGAAAGTGAGGAGGGACGAGTGTGCGAGGGTTACTAGAGCGTCGACAGAGAGGAAAGCCAGCAGAATGAGGTGGACTGGGCTCCTGGCCAGGATCCATGCACTCTAGTGGAGCGCGCCCATGCATCGGCTCTCCTGCCCCTCGACCCCCAGTCTTCAAGATATCCTCCTAAGACACCATGCTCACGTAGAACACGCTGGGCCTGAAGGTCCCCAGGCTGGGCTGGTAGGTGTAGTTTGCAAAGGTGGTGTCGGCGATGATGGTCTGGGTGCTAGTGTCGTACCACTGGAAGCCGGCTGCCGGAGGGAGATCGGCGGTGGCCCCTGGGAACGCGGAGTTGGGGTTGGCAGAGGAGTACTGGATGTACCCGTCCTGGATGAGAGCCTGTGGGGTGGGGGGGTATGAGAAGCATGTAGATTGAGATGCAGAGAGTCTACTGTGTCAAAGAGATGGGCCAGCGCACACAGTTGCCCCATGCCCTTGCAGTCAGAGATCCAGGTATGAGGTTCCTGTCCCTTCCCAAAGAAAATACGTAAATGCTCACCGATCCAAACATGGTGGCCCCGCGGACGATGTCGTACGCGGTGTAGTTCAGGAGCTGCATGCGCGCGCCCCACGACATGTGCCCCGACATGCACAGGAAAGACTTGGTGTTGGTGAAGTCCATGAAGCCCTTGGTGACGCCATCCAGGGCTCTGTACAGGGGGCAATGTGTGGTTGGGGGGGGTTGAGCATATGTACAGTGCATTCAGAGTCTGAAAGATATTTCACCTGAGAGGTGGTCGACTTGGGGCCAGCCCAACGTGTCCAAGCGACTTGCTCCTTCTCATGCAACACTTGTCTCCATCGTCCCCATCTGGCCGACCCGACCGCACCTGGTGTCAAACTCCACGCGGCCAGAGTAGTAGGTGAGGTCGTTGCCGTTGTAGTACAGCTTGCCGCCAAAGTAGATGCACCCAGCGTTCTCCCAGTAGTAGCCTGGCCAGGGTTGAGGGAAGTGTGGGTTCAAGAGGTCCAGGTCATGCAGTCAGCGCGTCCCACAATGTCCTGACGGCTCGGCAATGGCGATGCAGAGGGTCGAGCCCATCAGAGACCAGCAGTGGTCTGCCCCTCTACTCAGCGCACAGGGGGGCAGCGCGCCAGCATCCCCCCCCATCCACTCATCCACATCTGCCTTCGTGCCTGCCCCACCCCGCCACGCACCTGAGCTGTGCGCCGTGTTGGAGTCGAACTTGAGCAGGGGGCGCTGGGAGGGCACCAGCTGCGTGCTCCTGCTCAGCCCGATGGGGGCGGGGAGGACCGGGTAAAAGAAGCCGGAGTAGCCGCCTGACGCGGCGTTATTGGTCAGCGTGTTATAGGGGTTCGTGACGTAGAAGCCCGCGGCCGAGCTGTCGGAGGGGTTCTCCAGGCCCGTGCCCGAGGTCGTCAGCGTCACCCCACTCTGGTCGATCCCCGCTGCGGGCTGTGGTCAGGGCGGACGAGGGATTGGTGGTGAGGTGCTCGGGGCTGGATCAGCGTCCCTGTGGTGGCTCGCCACGTTCCTGTACACCAGAGACGGCCCAGCCGCCGGACCCCTCCCACACCATCGCCATCACCGTAACACCCACCGTCCCCAGGATGTTGACAAACATGGCCAGGTTGCGGTCGATGACGTTCTGCTCCTCCACGCCGTCCTCCAAGTAGTAGCAGTGCCCCTGACTGTTGAACGCCACGTTGTTCTTCAACGTGGCAAAGCTGGTGGCATGCACCACGTAGCACCGGAAGTAGGACCTGTGCATGTGGGTGGGTAGATGGCGGCCATGGGAATGTGGTGGCCAGGCTGAACCTGGAATTTGCTCGATGGATGCCCGGCGACTTCCTACGCCGGTCCCGACCTCCCCAGCCTCCCCCTTCCCACTCACTTGTAGACACTGTTGTCCGACAGAGTCATGCCGGCCCCGTTGCCGATCAGGTGGTAGTGAAAGGGGTAGGCACCCATGACGTTGTACTGTCCGCCACGATAGACCTGGTGGAAAGGAAGGGTGAGGGGATGTATGCGCTGGGACCAGGCTCCACGACGGCGGATGGGAGCATCATCTTACTCCATACCAGGGGTGAGGCCCAGGAGAGCAGTTCCCGCGCCACGACGCCGGCTTCCCACTCATGCAATGGACCCCAGGTCACGGCACAGGGGCCAAACGACGATGACCATGCGCAGCAGGCAAGTCACGGTGCGCGCACCTGCGTCCCAGAGATGCTGCCGCCGCCCTCGATCCGGATGTGGGGGCCCAGCTTGGTGGAGTCCATGCTGGCCTCCCCAGCGATCAGGATGTTGCGCGAGAGCAGGCCGACCTCTGCCTGGTATTCGGCGCCCCTGGGAGCAAGCAGGGACGGGAGAATCGGGGCGGTGCCGGCGTGGCAAACACACACAGGGCCCCTAGTGTTGGCAGACAGACCCAAGTCCACCACAAGGCACCCTCAATAGCGCCTGCCCTGTGCAGTTCTCCCGTCTACCCACCCGTAGTGGTAGAACTGGGTCCCTGCTGTCAGGGTGAGGGTCTTGCCGTCTGCAGAGACAGATTGGATGGTGCGTACTTCGTTCTGGTTGTTCTGGGCGTCCCTCCAGATGGTGGTGGAGATGGCCACCTGCTGCCCTGGCTGCCAGTTTACCGCCTCCTGCGGGGTATTGGGGCCGGAAGCACGGCAGGGATTGAGCGTCTGTGGGTTCTTGGTGGGCACAGGATGGAATAGGAGACTCCTACACCACACTCCAGCGTTGGCTCCCTCGTCGGATCGCTGACCTTGAGGGTGACTTGGGTGCTGCCTGGGGTGATGGAAGCCCCCAGCCGGGTCCAGGTGGGCGTGTACAGCGCGCCATGCAGCTGGATGGTCCCCCCGGGTCGCACGCGAATGCCAAAGAGGAAGGTGCTGATCCCGTTGACGGTGTGGAACAGGAAGGTGAGGCGGGAGTTGAGGCGGCAGGTTGCGCTGCCACCGCGCAGGGCACCATACACGTCGATGGACCCCAGGTTCCACACCAGGGTGTTGTCATCCAGGATGAGCTGCGAGGGGAGCGGGACGGCATGGAAGTTGGGACCAGAGGATGTGCACGGGTAGGAACGGCGCGAGCGTGGCTCTCGCCATCTGGAGTGCAACCCTGCATGTGCCCCTGCGGCCTGCCACCGGGTCCCAGCCCTGCCATGAGGCGCATGGCTCCGTGGTCATGCCCATGCTCACCTCGCTGGTGGCAGGGATGATGACCTGGGTGTAGGTCGCGGTGGCGCTGATCATGCATCCGGAGAGTAGGACCTTGCTGTTGGCGGGGAGGGTGATCGAGGTGCCGGGGGAGGGGACTGTGCCGCCCCAGGTGGCGGGATCGTTCCACCTCTTCAGACCGCTAGCCAGGAAGGGGCAGTCGGTGCGCCCATCCTGTGGCAATCGGGACCAGGGACATGATGAGTTGGATGAGATGTGAGCCAGTTTATGGTTGCTGGCGATCGCCGCATGACGCATCCCACCCTCAATACTCACCGCTGTCGGGGCGGTCGAGGGGCAGGTCGGGGTTGGGTACGTGGGATCGGGGTAGACGGGGTCGGCATTGATCACCACCTCGCCCGCTCCCATGCACTCGTCGATGGATGAATAGATTCCCCATCCTGGTAATGGAGGCATGGGGGGTGGAGAAGGAATGGGGTGCCGGGGCCACAGTGCGATGGTGTGGCCCACCGTGCATGAAGGCACGTGGTCAGCTGACGGCAGCTTCCCCGTCTTCACAATGCGGCAGCGGGATCGCCCGATGCCAATCGAACGGCAAGCAGGGCGGTGCATCAGGTCTCACGGCCATTACCTCGGAGACAGATGTTGCAGTTGACGCTGCCATAGGGGTCCGAGGGATTGCAGGTGTTGGCGACACAGCCGCACTGCCGGGGGAAGAGGTTGGTAACAATGATGCAGCTGCTCACCCCGCCGGGGCTTGTGAGGCTGTCCACGGACACAGTGGTATTGCATGTCGGCACATTGCCTTGGCTGCCGAGGCCAAGCTGGGCTGAGGCCGAGGAAATGAGGGCCAGCAGCAGCCCCGCCACCAGCGTGCAGGGTGGCCGGAGCTCCATGATGAGGCTTTGAGATGTCAAGCCGGGGCCCCTGATAGTTGCATGAGCTTCAACGCTGGGTAATTAGTGATCTGAATGTTAACAATGCCCAGAACCGGGGCGTTTATAGCCCTGTCGGGTGAGCCCATGCCCCGGGGGGCGAGCTCCTGTTGTGCCGACCAAATTCAAAGTCGGGACACCTTTCACACCTCACCGCGTTCGGTGTGTTGTTATCGCTGCTGGGACACGCAATAGTGGCGGGGCACGCCAGCATCGTCAATACACCCTGGAGAATCACGAGCTTTATTCTCTGATATCTAAAAGCTACCTCATATTCCAATAGTACGTCAAGCGGCACCGGCGGCGGCGCACCCTCATACGGCGGACATGAAGCCGGGACGCACCATGGCAACGCAACGTAAAAACCGAACCCACCGGCCGTAAGGATCTCGCTTTGCCAGATTGCTGTTTGGCTGACACAGGATCCGGATCGCATCAATGTGACGCTCTTGACTGGGGTGCTCCCTGGTCAGCTCGTGTTGAAGATTGCGGTGGACCCTTCAACAGTCCTGGGTAGCGCAGGGGCAGATGCTGAACTCTCTGCTCAGGGTGTTGTGAACCCCGTGCTGCACAATCACTACATGACATCCTGACCTGTTTGTGTGGGGTATGAGCTCAAAAAAGGGCACCCGAGGAGTCCATGGAGCGGGACTTGTGTGCTGACCCTAAACTGGTTGCGGTCGGCAGTTCCCAATTGATACCATTTTGATCAGGTAGGGATACACTTGACTCTGAATGCATTGCCACACCAGTCACATTGCCTGCTCCTGCGCCCATATGATGATATTCCACTGGGCTGAGAATGATAGGCCACCCAGACTGCATTGCTGCGAAACATCCGAAATGGTCACTTCTCTGTACAGGATTTTGGCTGGATTCGTTGCACCACACCCACAAGCCACATCAGCCCTGAAGAGGCTGAGCTCGCTTGGTAAGCGTGAGGCCAAGGGACCTGAATCATCACATCAGGCAACACGCCATTGAGCGAGCGCACCGCACATGCACACGATTTGGAGACCGCTCAACCTTTCTGACGTATCAATTTCCAACCAAAGCGACTTAATACTCTCAACTTTGTCGGAAGGAGTGAATGCTGCTTGAGGGCTGGCGCGTGGCACTTTACACGCCACCTCCTGCCCTCACGAACCACCAGCATGCCCATGCATGGTGCCGCGTCCTCTCCCAGGGGAGTTCACCGTGCAGGATGGCACCGTTGCGGTGTACGTCCGCCGCTGAGCCTTTCGGCGCCCACATGGAGGACCCGCGAACTCGTCATTCCCTTGCCCAAGCCGGGCTCGCCATGCGTGATTGCATCAAGATTGGCAGGCTCGGCGCGGGTGCTGGAACGACTAACCAGATTCGCCTGCGCTGGAGAACATCAGAGGTGGGCTGGTGAAGAGCTTGCATTTCGGGACCCAGCTGTCGTGCAGCTTTGATCCCTTCAGCCGATCTGTCCCGTAAGTCCCCTCACCCTCCAGGTGGTCAGGCTACGATGTGCTGGCAAGCCTGCTGCTGACATGAAGTCCCTGGCTCAGGCATTGGAAACTGCCACTGGTGGGCAGGTGGTGTACCGGTCGGGGGGCACAATCATACTGCATCGCGGTCAGCACTGGCAGCCAGGAGCCCTTGCACAGCCACTGTGCTCTGCAGAGCCTGTAGTGCTGCAAGGGGTCTCAGACGAGGAGGCTCTATGCGATCAAGCCATGCCAGCAGACACGGCAGATTTGCCTGGCCCGCAATCAGCGACCTCCTCCCTCGCTGGCTTGCTCGCCTCAAATGGCTAGCTTGCCCAAACCCTCCTCCGCTTTCTTCTTGGCAGCTGCCGCACGCCGCTTTGCATTCTTTGCCGCTGCTTTGCTCAGCTCCGGTGTGGCCTCGGCTGTGCCAGAAGACATGGAGGGTGGGAAGTGTGTTGTCAGGCTTTTAGCTGGAGACGGACATCTCAAATTGTCTCCTCATGTTGGTTGTGCTGTTGTGCAAAGCTGGGGTCCACATGTGAGGACATGTAAGAACAGACACCTTCATGGGAAGACAAGATACACATCTCAGGCCGCAAGGCCCATCTGCAACAGCTTTCAGGTAGCGTGTGGGACCTGTGGCACGTCCTGCCGCACCCAGCCCCAACTCCCAACCCCGCACCCCACCTCCGGGCGGAAGCGCCGGCTGCATTCGAGCGGCCGCTGGTGGGGCGCCCACCACCCCGCCGTTGGTGATCTTGCCCCCTCTGTCCTCGGCATCCCGCGCCAGCGAGAACTTGGAGCGCGCGGCGGCAGCGGCCGCAGGGTTGCCGCGCAGGTGCGGGGGTACATACCCTGTGACCGCCGGCGGGGGCGGCAAGGCCGGCTCGGCGCCCGCTGCACCCCCTGGTGTTTGAAGGGGCGCGTCGGAGAACGACCCCGGCGCGGCGGGCCGCCACGCTGCCTGGAGCAGGATGGGATAGGGGCGGGCCGCCAGCCTGGCGGCATCTGCCCGGAAGACCTGAATTCCGTTGTCGACGCGCAGCCGGGGCGCGGTGGTGGAAACCAAGACCATGTGGCCGCAGGGGGACCACTCCAGCGCCACGCCGTTTTCGGCCCTGGAGCAGGAGGCCAGGGGAGTGCGGGAGACTAGGTGGTCGCTGGCCCACAAACGGCCTGAGTGGAATCGGGTCCAGTGAATGTAGCACGATACAGCTGGGATGTCAACAGAGCATTCTACCTTGTCAAACTGAGCCTGCCCAATAACCTGTACACATGCGTCCCCACACCCCCCTCCACGCCATGCACTTCCAGCCTCACCTAGTGGTCCCCATGGGCTTGCACTTGCCATCCGCCTTCTTATCATAAAACGCCAGGTCGCCGGGCAGGTTGCCGAACCCAGCCAGCACAAAGTATCGGCCAAAGGGGTTCCACCGGACCATGGAGAAGGGCCCAGACCCTGGGGGGGCCGAGGACGTACTTGTGTCAGGGAAGAAACCTCCCCAGCAGCGCGTGTAGGCTGTGGGGCAAGTCGGCCGCCTCACCTGATGGGCGGTGCACAGCACCCAGGCATGCTCGTGCCCCACCATTAAATCCACCAGTTCAGCTCACCCAGGTCGAACTTGGGGACACACGCGCTGTTGAAGAGAATGACCTTGGCGGGCATGAAGCCTGCCACCACAAGGAAAAAGTTGCCCTTGGGCGACCACTGGACGTCGTGGATGGGGCCCTCCTTTACCAAGGGGGTGGAGGGGGCACAGAAGATGAATCTATGTTTGTATGCAAGTCTCAGGCAAGACGTGGTCTGAGACGAACACCACTCCTTCCAGACATGCTTATCCCCTGTTGGGCGCTTTGACAGGGAATTTTTCGCGCCACACCCGTGATTGTCAAATGGATGGCCCTTAAGCCTCGGCTTCCACTGGCAACGTCAGGTTTCGCATGCAATCCACTGACTGCAGATCAACCTGTGGCGGGTCTAGCATCCTGCGACGACATTTGCCACCCCTCACCCTCTTACGCTCACACCTTTGGCAGCTGGACAGCGCACTCGTTCTGGCCATTGGACGCCATGAAGTAGAGCTTCTGCTCCCCGTAATAGCTCTGGTTGGTGGCATCGACGTCCGACGCCGCCAGTGCCAGCACCGCACATCCGCTGGGGCTCCAGAGGAGCTGCGCCGAGTTGGACTGCGAGTTTGAAGGGAGCATGAGGCTGGTGGGCACAAAGGTTCCCCTGCCTGGGATGTACAAAGAGTGCGCAGGGTCTGATGCAGCAAGGGTCCATCCCAAGGTCAGCCCTCTTGCTCCTGCACACAGGCAATGGGCATGGCCTGCCAGTGGGGAGGGCGCTCCCACAAATCCCCGGATCGCCATCCCTTTCCTGCACCCTTGCCCCGCGTTCTCCTGTGCCTCACCCGGAAGAAGTTCTTGCGGCAGATGGGCGTCCCATCTGCCCCCGGCTCGGCAGAGTAGAGGCCCACGCTGGCGGGGCTGCCCTTGGCCTCCGGGCAGTAGGCGGCGAGCAGCGCGCCCCCGCCGCCAGACGGCCTGGGCGCAAAGCTGGACACGCCCTTGATGGGCACGCGGTGGGTCACGCCTGCTCGAGCGTGTGTAGGAAGGGAGGGGGGGTGCACACTGATGCGTGGATTGCCCGGGCCTGTTTCCCTGCCCCAGCACACCCCCGTCACACAGCCCTATCAAGACAGCTGCACAGCAGCCCCTCTACTCCCCCACACCGCAAGGTCCACAACCAGGCGCAACGCCCGAGGGCCACTTTTACCACCCCCCCAAACAAGAAACACCTCCGCCCTCTCACCGTTGCTGAAGTCCGATGTGTCGTAGACGTGCACGGCACTGGTGACCTGGTAGTAGGCCAGCGCGTCCCGCACCCCAAACCGGATGGCCGGCCATTCCTCGCGCCGAAAGTGCTTCTGGTGCAGGGCCAGGCGCACGGCCCCGTCCTCCACCCCCCAGAGCTTCAGGTTGCGGTCCTGGTCGACGTCCTTGGCCGGCCGGGCCTGGGTCAGCAGGAAGCGGCCATCGGGGGAGAAGGAGGCCGCCAGCGTGCCGGGGCTGGGCAGGGCATGGCGCAGAGTCCGGCTCGCGGTGTCGTGGATGGCCACGCCAGACGGCGTGGTCAGCGCGAAGAGCGTGCCGTCGGGGCTGAACACCAGGCCGCTGGAGTCGCCGCTGTTGTGAGGGTGGAAAGGGGGTTGCGTGTCCAGCTGGAGGCATGCATGCAGGGTGAGCATGGACGGGGGGAAGCTGGGCGTACAGACAGCTGGACGAAGGTTTCGGTGACAGACGTGCGAAACCAATAATTGGTTTCAAAAGTTGATTTGGATACGCAGCCCCTTCCGATCCTAGCCAGAGCACTTCAACCTGGCCATGGCTTGCCTATGGGTGTGGAGTGTCTCCAGGGAGGACGTGCCACTGGACAGTACATGGATCTCGCCCTCCGTCCGGCCTGCGCGGGGATCGGGGAGCTTTCAATGTCAGACCATGCAAACCATCAAGCGCGATGAATGCAGGCCGAGACGAGCAGCCCAAAGGCGCACAGTACTCACAGAAAATCTCCTGCTCGGCAGCCATGCTCCTGAATAGCCTTCGGGGACCTCGACTGCACAGGCGGTGTAGTTCTGGACGTCAAGACCTGGTACAAGTCACCAATACTCCATTCAATCCTTCCATAATTAACGCATCGGAAGTGTTGGAGCGAGAAGAACGACATCTCTCTAGCGCCTCGAAGCAACCCGCGACTTCGCGCCCTGTGACCGTGTCATGAAGCAGTAAATCCCATTGCCCCATGATCACTGCATTATAGAGGATCCCATTTACCAGGTCATAGCTGCCGTATTGCCATCGGTTTCGCAATTTTGCCTGAAAATTGAAAGGGGCGCACGAAAGAGGCGCATCAGCTCGTCAGCGGCGAACTATGGTGCCTTGAGGAGAGCTCGACGATCCTGCATCCTGCATGGCCTCCATCAGGCATGAGGCGGATAGTGACTTGCAGCAAGGGAATATCCTACCCGTTGGCTCGTCCGGAAAGCTTTCAATAAACCGGAAGGAGCGAGACTGGGCAGCATCCGGGGTGAGTTGCTGAGGAAGGCGGATGATCTTGGCGATCCTCTCCTTCCCAGCAGGGCGTTGATTTGTGAGGCTATGACTGCTCCGATGTGCTCGACAATGCTTGCCAATATCTGTGAAGGCCGGCCCTCTCATGGCGCCCCCCCCATGTTCGACGCCATGCGAGCTCTGCGATGACCCTGACGACGCCGTCTGCCAAACTCTTCAGCCTGTGCAGGGGCCTGAGGGAACAAAGCATTCCCAGGCTGTCATCGAATTCTCGCCCCTGGGGCGGCAGGTCCAGGGCCCGCGGCCCCTCCTGCTCTTTGACCTCAACGGCGTGCTGCTGCAGCATCATTACCTCGGCATAGGGCAGCACTCCTTCGACATGCGCCCTGGCCTGGTCCACATCTTGCGTCTCCTGCCCTATTTCCGCCTGGGCATCTTCACCTCCAGCACTCATAGGACAGTGCTGAAGTCGGTGCACAAGCTGCACGCCAAGGTCAGCAACACGCTGCAGCAGCTCCTCGCCAGGCGGGCGAGTGAGCGGGCACGGGCATGCGACGCCGCCGCCTCCTTGAAGGACCCGATGCGGGCCCATGCCTGGCCCGAGGCCGTCCCTGCGCAACTCTTCGAACTGGTGCTGACGCGGGACCACTGCAAGCCCGCCAGCGCGGCCGCCATCGCAGCGCGGGGCGGCAACCCGTGGGACACGGTCAAGCCGCTGGCGCACCACTTCCCCCGCCTGGATCAGGTGCTGCTGATCGATGACTCGCTGCACAAGGCGGCCCCAGGCGAGGCCCTCAACATGATCGTGATGCCTGGCTGGGCCGGGCCGGGTGTAGGAAAGCGCGACGATTACCTACCTGTTCTCGTTGAAGCCTTACTGGACCTGGCTGCGAGTGAACAGGCCCGGGCCGCCGCTGGGAAGCCCCCGCCGGACCTGAGGCGGCACTCGGGGGCCATCAGCGCGCGCCTGGCGGAACTCAGGCGTAATGATGCTGTGGATCTCGCCCTCCATCAGACCTGCGCAGGCGTTGGCGATCTATCATTGTCAGACCATGTACCTCAGAGGGAGCAATGAATGCTCCCAGGCGCCCCCCTCCAGAGGCGTGTAGTGCTCACAGAGATATTGTGCTCGGCAGTCCTGCTCCCGAGCAACTTTGGGAGGACACGACGTCCAGAAGTACACTGCCTGTACCATCGAGGCCTGGTGCTTTCCACCGGTAGCCTCCATGCTTGTTGCGCACTTTCGGACCGATGGTGATGGCCAACTCTCCACGCGCCTTCGTGCAACCCGCGCCTTCGCGCCCAATGTGCTCTTCATAACGAAATGAGAGCAATGACCCCATGCAATTATTCAAACAAATAACAAAAAAGGTGCCAGCATGTAAAGCCATCCCACGTTCGTGCCTGGAAACCGATCGGGCGCCCGACAGGGCCATACCGGCTGGCCAACAATGACCCGCAGGGCTTCTGCTGGGGGGCATGACCTCCCCACAGATTACTTGGCCTCTGATGGATCCATGGATGAAGGGGATGGCGACTTAGAGCTGGGAAACGTCCTCCCGGTGGGCCCGCCAGGGACGCTTGCTCTCAAGAGGGACGACCGGCACTTGGCAGCATCTGAGGTGCGATGCTGAGCAGGGCTCGGGCCACAGGCCATCTCCCTCCGGAGCATGGAGCCGAAGAGGGCAGTGTGACTGCGCCATCCCCCGAGGAGGCCTGCTTGCTGTGGTGGCAGGGGTTCTTCCTGGCCCTCTTCCTCTTGAGCCAGGTCCCCAGCGACGGTGCCTTCCCAAAGTCTTCCTCACAGCAGGTGCACAAGAGGATAAAGCACTCCCAGGCTGTTGTCCAGTTCTCCCCCCTGGGGCGACAGGTCCAGGGCTCGCGGCCCCTCCTGCTCTTTGACCTCAACGGCGTGCTGCTGCAGCATCAGTATGGGGGCAAGGGGCAGCATTCCTTCGACCTGCGCCCTGGCCTGATCCACATCCTGCGTCTCCTGCCCCACTACCGGCTGGGCATCTTCACCTCCAGCACCCGCAAGACCGTGCTGAACTCGGTGCAGAAGGTGCACGCCAATGTCAGCAACACGCTGCAGCAGCTCCTCGCCAGGCGGGCGAGTGAGGAGGCCAGGGCACGCGACGACGTCGGTGGCGCCGCCTCCAAGAAGGACCCGATGCGGGCCCATGCCTGGCCCGAGGCCGTCCCTGCGCAACTCTTCGAGCTGGTGCTGACCCGGGACCACTGCAAGCCCGCCAGCGCGGCCGCCATCGCAGCGCGGGGCGGCAACCCATGGGACACGGTCAAGCCGCTGGCGCACCACTTCCCCCGCCTGGATCAGGTGCTACTGATCGACGACTCGCCGCACAAGGCGGCGGCAGACGAGGCCCCCAACATGATCGTGATGCCCGGCTGGGCCGGGCCGGGGGCCGGAAAGGGCGACAGCGCCCTGCCCGTGCTCGTGGAGGCACTGCTGGACCTGGCTGCGACTGGGCAGGCCCTGGCCGCCGCTGGGAAGCCCGTGCCGGACCTGAGGCGGCACTCGGGGGCCATCAGCGCGCGCCTGGCGGCACTGGCCGTCCCTGCCACTGAGCTCAGGGCGGGTAGCGCCCTGGAGGCGTCCGACGACGCGAGCTCGGCGGACCCGGTGAGGAGCTCCGCTGGCGCGCAATCGGCCGGCACAACGCCTGCGGCCGACGTCGTGGGCTTGGCCCTTGTGTGGAGCGAGGCCGGCGGGTCGACCCAGGCCTGCGAGGCGGGCGAGCCCCTCGTGGCGGGCGAGCCCCTCGTGGCGGGCGAGCCCCTCGTGGCGGGCGAGCCCCTCGTGGCGGGCGAGCCCCTCGTGGCGGGCGAGCCCCTCGTGGCGAGCGAGCCCCTCGTGGCGGGCGAGGCTGGGGAGGCGAGCACAGGCCGCCGCAAGCGCAGCAAGGCCGGCATCACGAGCGAGTTCCCTGAGGTGACCCAGGCTGATGTGGATCGATTTGCGGACATGTACCCGCCGCAAACGCCCGGCGTCCTGCCGGAGTGGGCCGTGCAGGCGGCTGTGACGCTGCTCGGACATGTCGTAGAGGTGCGGTGCGCCGTTCACCACTTCTCCTGGTGGTGGCCTTGGGTGGCTGCCGTGGGGTGCACAGACCCTGCATGCCATGCAGCCGGGTGCCATGGGAGTGCTCCTGCGCTGGCACCCACAGTTGCCTGCTGCACGCCATTGGATGCCCTGCAGTCGCTTGCTTGGCCCTGGACCCGGCCGGGGATTGACAGAGGGTCAGCGAGCCACGTCTCAATGGGACTCCTCCTCGGCTTGCTCCGCCGGAGTCTGCCGCCCCTGCTGGCCCTGACAGCCGTTTGACTGAAGCACACACCCCGCGAGAGCCCACGCCCCTCCAATCCCAACCCCCTCCCTCCGTCACCCCTCCCCAGAGGCTGTGGGCGAGATTCCCACCCGGCACCGGCATAGACAGACTGAACAACAAGCTCGACACCAACCCACAACTTCGCGTACTGTTCGGCACCTCTGTGCGCCGGGCGCTGGAGGCCTGCATGGCCCGGGGCTCGCTGAGCATGGCGACCCTGCCCTCCTTCGGGCCCTGGATCGCGCTGGGCGGCGCGGCACCCCCCCTCGATCCGGAGCGCGACGTGGTGAAGGAGGCGCTGCAGGAGCTGGCCCGCCACGCCAGCCACGCCGCCTTCTGCGCAGCGCACCGCGCCCCGGCCCCTGCGGGGGTCGCCGAGCCGGCCGAGCCGCCGGCCGGGCCGCCCGGGAAGAAGTGGCGGCGCATGCCTGCGCTCGACGAGGCGGCCCTGGCCCTGCAGGAGCGGGTGCTGGTGGCCCTGGTGCGGGGGCTGGCGGCGCCCAAGGTCCTGCCGTACGAGGTGCTCCCCCGCGCCCTCCGCGACCTGGCGCCGGGGGCGCCGCACGGGCACCCCCTTGTCAGCAAGGGCCTCCGCGACGGCATCGAGAGGATCTTGGCCGGGGCAGAGCAGGTGCGGCCGGGGCCGGGGCGGCGTCCTCCTGGATGAACGTTGGGGATGCTCGGGGGGTGGGGGGGCAGTGTGAGGAGGGTATCCCAGGAAACCCGCAGCGTATCAGCCCCGCACGGGGCATGGGCGGCGTCGGTGCGGCCGACCGCCACCACCGCCTCCCCCTCACACACACCGCCGCAGGCCGGACTGTTCGCAGTGCGCAGGCCCGGCCCCTTCGGCGGCCACGCGGAGGTGGCGTTTCAGCCCGGGCGGGCCGCCGACCCCGTGCCGGAGGAGCAGCTCAAGGAGGCGCTGGCCATCTTCAGGCTGGCGGTGCAACGCCTGCTGGGCGCCGTCCATCCGGCGCCACCCGCCCGCCGGGATGGTGAGGCAATCCAGGGCGGCGCTCCCTCCTCGGCTTCCGTCCCGGAAGACCAGAGGGCCGGGGCGGCCCAGACCAGCTCTGCGCCGTCGAACCATGGGGCGACCCCGGGCGAGACAGCCCCCCTGCCCCTGGACGTGTTTGAGGACAGGGCCAGTGCGCCCGCACAGCCCCAGCCCGGCGGTGTGGGAGGACCAGGGGCCTCGGGGGTGGGGCGCAGCGCGGCGCCGGCCGAGGCTCGAGGGGGAGCCATGGACGAGAGCGTTGGTGGCCACCCTCGCCAATCAAGTGCAGCTGGTGGGGGGCAGCGGACCCTCACCCCCCTGCATGCCGAGGTGCTGAGCTTTGCGCGGCAGGCCGCCCCCACCCGGCAGGAGGTTGGAGACATGAAGCGTGCCCTGATGAGCCTGGCGGAGGTGGCCACCCGCCTGTGGCCCCACTCCCAGACCATGCTTTTTGGGAGTCAGGCCACGGGCCTGACGTTGCCGGGGGGCGACCTGGATGTGGTCATCCTGGGGGTCGGCTCCGAGCTGGACACGGCGGGCTCGGGGTTCTCAGCACGCGAGCGCCAGCAGAAGGTGCAGCTGCTGGAGGACCTGCTGGACGCGCTGCTCGCCACCAAGCTGCTGCAGGGGCGCGTGGAGCTGATCGACGCGCGCGTGCCCATCATCAAGTGCTGCATGGCCGCGGCCGGCGGCCTCCATGTCGACATCTCCCTCGGCACGGCCAACGGCGCGGCGGCCGCGCGCTACGTTCGCGCTCAGGTGCTGGCGATCCCGCCGCTGCGCCCGCTGTGTCTGGTGATCAAGGCCCTGCTCAGGCAGAAGGGGTTCAACCAGGTATTCACCGGCGGCATCTCCTCCTACTCCCTCTGCAACATGGTGCGCATGTGGGTGGGTGGGGGGAAAAAAGAGTCGGCACTGTCCGAGGGTTTGGGAAGTTCCCTGGCCCCAAGGCTGCCTGCCTGCCTCAGGTTGGCAGGGCAAGCCTGTGTTCCACCATCCCCTTCCCCCAACCCCTTTCCTCAAAGGTGCTGGCCTATCTGCAGAGCGAGGGTTACAAGCTGGGCGAGGTCCCCGGGGACCCAGGAGAAGTGAGCTCGGAGCTGGAGGGTGTGTTCGCCTTCCTGACCGACCTCCACTGCGAGGGGCTGCATGGCGAGAGCGCCGGCCCCGGCCCCCCCGGGGCGAGCACGGCGGACCTGGGGCGGCTGCTGTGGGGCTTCTGCAACCTGTTTGGGTACGCCTTCCGCTACAGCCACCAGGCCGTTTCGCCAGCGCGGGGCGGCATCTGCAAGAAGATCGGGCCTTGGAGGCAGGACCACCGGGGCTGGCTGCTGGCCGTGGAGGACCCCCAACAGATGGGCAAAGACATCGGTTCAGGGAGCTACGAGATCCGAGCCATCCGGGAGATGTTTGCCGAAGTGGCAGACAAGCTGGGGGAGAGCCTGGAGGACCTTGCGGCGCAGCGGCAGGCTCGGGGGTGCCAGCCGGCCTCGCCGCCTCCCCTCCTGCCTGGCATCGTGGACATGGTGGCCGCGGTGGCCCGTGGTGCGTCCGGCCTCAAGGCACGGCGAGCGCTGGAGGCACAGCAGACTGCCAAGAGCGCCGAGGCCAAGAGGTATCGCTCCCAGTCGCCGCGTCGCTCGTATGGCCGGCACAGACCCTGGGAGGAGGAGTGGGGAAAGCGGCTCAGGTCGCCGTCACCTCCCTCGGGGGAGCAGCGGGAGAGGCCCTACAGCGGCCGGACGCCCTACCAGCCCCAGCGCTCCTCCAGGCACACGCCCTTGCCCAGGCTCACGCCTAAAGGGAAAGCGGGTCCCAAGCCAAAAGCCACGCCCCAGCCGAGTGCCGCGCACAAGCCCACTTCGGGAGGCAAAGGCAAGGGCACAAAGCGGGCCCGGGCTGTGGAGGCGCAGTGGAGCAACAAGAAGGGGCAGTTCCTCGAGAGCAGGTGCTTTGTGCGGCTATTTGAGGAAAAAGGGGTTCAGGGCGGGTCCTGAGGTCGGAGCTCAAGGGCTCCGCGTGTCTTTACGTGATGTCTCTGGAGTTGTACAGGTAAAGGAGGACCTTCACCCTCACTGTCCCATGATGCACTGGCATGCACTGCTGTCTCTGTCCATGCATCGCAAGATTGGCAGGACAAGATCTGCACCCAGATCCACCTCCGTCCCCAAGCAGCGCTGGCACCAGCCCTGCTGCCGGGCATGCTGCTGAGGAGTCCTGGAGCTTGCACAAACAGAAAAAGCCGGCGAGAAAGACTACTCCGCTCGCAAAGCTGAAGACCAAGGGAGGTGTGGCCAAGAAACCGCAGCGTGGGGGCGGCGCCAGGGGTTCTCCGAGAGGGCGCAGAGGAAGAGGCGGCGCCAGGGGCTCGTCATAGGTTTGGGGAGTCCAGGTTTGGAAGATGTTGGCGCACAAGGAGCACCCTTGCTAGCGCCAACCCTCACCTCTGCCCCTAGGCTGCCTATTCAATTGCCAATGACACCCATCCCATTTCTGCTACCCATTTTGCAAACGAGCCTCATAGTGCATGTTGCCCTGCTTTGTCCCTCCTCCAGCATCCCTTGTATATATTCAGTATCCCCTCCAGCTGGGTGCCCATGCCAATATAGGCGCGACCTATCCTAACCGAATCAAGAACCCCTGCCAGACTTACGTCGACTGCTGAACGAGGGTCTCAGTGATACACGCCCCAACACTCACTTGGGGATAACAAGGGGGATGTAGAATAGTGGCCCCGTTCGATCCTGGGGTGGGTACGTCGGCCGGGGTTGCCTGTGGGTGTCGAGCGCCTTCAGGGGAGAAGCAGCTTGTGAGCACCTGGATCTCGCCCTCCATTCGACCTGCAGAGAGGACTGCGGGGCTGTTACTGCAGCTCCTGCACCTCGAAGAGCGCGATAATTGCTTCCCAGCGCCCCCCTCCAGGGGCGCATGAATCTCACAGAGAACAACCTACTTAGCCGGCACACTCCCGGCCACCGATTAGGTCACTGGACTGCACAGGCGGCACCATGTGGAGACAAATATCTGGTTTCCATCACGAATAATCCATCTGAAGTCTCCATGCTGCACGCATTGGGAGGGTTGCCGTGATCATTAAGCAAGCTATTACATGCGCGGGTTCATGCAAGCCATGACTTCGCGCCCGATAATTTTTGCATGAGGCAGGGAGCCTTTGGCCCCGACATGCAATCCAAGGAATCCACCGGATCATGGGTGTCCTGGTGTAAAACAGTTCACAGCAGTGCTTTGACAGTGATCGGGCGTCCCACAGGACTGCACAGGCTCGCCAGAGTGGACACGCATAGTCCGCGCCCGGAGGGCACGAGTCCCCCTAGATAATCCGGCCTCTGATGGCTCCATGAATGTCGAGCGTGGCCCTTGTGACGAGCGAGACTAGGGTAGGGAGCGTGGGTTCCAGCATGTTTAGCAAAACTGACACGCTGAGCAAGCTCCCCGTGGTGAGCCAGGCAGAGGTGGATAGGTTGGTCAACGCGTGGACTCTGTATCCGGCACCACAAGAGCCCCATGAGCTGCCGGACTGGGCCGTGGAGGCCGGTCTGACGCTTCTTGGTCTAGTTGTGAAGGTGCGGAGGGCCTCCATTCCCTCGTCTAGGCATGGAGTGCCCACCGTGGGGTTCAAGGGGCGTCTGTATGCAAGGCAGCCGGGAATCACACGAGTGCTCCCGCGCAGGCGCCCAGGGCTGACTGTTTTACGCCATTCGATGCCTTCCAGCCGCTCTCATGGCCCTGGGTCCACCAAGGGATGAGCAGGGGGTCAGCGTGTCCTCCCTCGATGGCACTGCTCCATGCCCTGATCCCAAGAGCCTGCTGCCTCTGGTGGCCAGCACGCCCACGCCACCGGTGCGCATCGCCCTCTGACGGCTCCTTCCCCTCCCCCTGGGATCCCCCCCTTCCCTCCTCCCCCCTCAGCGGCTGTGGGAGGGGTTCCCACCCGGGACCACCCTGGAAGACCTGAATTGGGGAGGCTTGGGAGGACGACTGCACGCGATGTGTGGCCGCACCGCGCGCCCCGCATTGGACATCTGCCTGGCCAGGGGCTCGCTCAGGATGGTGATCAGCGAGGCCCTGCCTTCCTTCAGGCACTGGATCGCGCTGGGTGACGTGGCGCCTGCCAACCCGAGGCATGGCGCGGAGAGCGAGGTCGAGCAGCCGCCGGCCCACCGAGGTGAGCAGGCCGCCGTCTGCGCGGCGCAGGGCACCCCTGCTCCAGCAGCCGTCGCCGAGCCGACCGAGCCGCGTGCGGGGCCGCCCGCGGCGAAACGTCCGCGCGCAGACAAGGCCGTGCGTCGCGGGGTTCCCCATGCGGAGGAGGAGCGGGAGCTGGTGGCCCTGGTTCGGAGGTTCTCGACACCCAAAGAGCTGCCACGCACGATGATCATCAGCGCCTTCATGGACCTGGTGCCGGAGGTGGTGCAAAAGGACCGTACACTCCTCGGCGATCTGGAGGAGGGGATCAAGGGGATCGTGGCGAGGGGCGAGCAGGTGCGGCCATACCAAGGCGATGCCCAAGGGGGGGGGCACAGAGGGATGTCGGGGAGGATTAGGGTGCCCGAGATACCTGCGGCGCGCGAGCTCAGTGCAAGGGCACGCGCGTCGTCCCCGCGGCCTGGCCCCACCGTCACTCCACGCACTACTGGCACAGACCGGTCTGCTGGTGCTGAACATGACCAGGACCTCTTTCCGATGCGTGCCGCCACCTGCCTCTCAGCCGGGGAAGGCCGCCGACCCCGTTTCGGATGAGGAGTACAGGAAGGCGCTGACCATCTTCAAAATGGCCCTGCAGCGCTGGACCGTGCCCGACTTCCAGACGCCACCCGCCATCGGAGAGGGCCAGGGCTCCCAGTGCAGCGACTCCGCCTCGGCACCCATTCTGGCCAGCGTGCCAGCACAGCCCCAGCCCGGCGGTGTGGGAGGACCAGGGGCCTCGGGGGTGGGGCGCAGCGCGGCGCCGGCCGAGGCTCGAGGGGGAGCCATGGACGAGAGCGTTGGTGGCCACCCTCGCCAATCAAGTGCAGCTGGTGGGGGCCAGCAGACTCTCACCCCCCTGCATGCCGAGGTGCTGAGGTTTGCACGGCAGGCCGCGCCCACCCGGCGGGAGGTGAAAGGTGAGGTATTCCTCACCACCCCCGCCTCATGGGCCGCGGCGGAGATAGGTTCCCTGCCGCCTGCACCCAGCGGGGCACCCCGGCACCGCTCCTGGCTGTCCTACAGCCCAACCCTTGGTTCACACTCCTCCTACTTCTCCATCTTGCTCACAGACATGGAGCTTGCCCTGAGGAGCCTGGCGGAGGTGGCGATGCGCCTGTGGCCCCACTCCCAGACCATGCTGTTTGGGAGTCAAGTGCGATACGTGGCCACAGTGGGGCGTAGCTGCATGTCTGCGGGACGTCGACTGCAGACGGCGTGACCAGCGACTGTGTGCACACCTCGGACACACACAGGCCACGGGACTGACGCTGCCGGGAGGCGACCTGGACGTGGTCATCCTGGGGGTCGGCTCCGAGCTGCAGACGGCGGGGTCCGGGTTCTCCGGACATGAGGTACACTGAGCGCACATGTTGTGGAAGGCGGTGAATGAGGGAGGGGACCTCCTGTGGCACCTACTCCACCCCAAATGGATTTGAGTCATCCTCTGCACAACAGTGTGATGGCCATGGCTCATCTTCTGGCATCGCCCCGGCCAGTGGCCTGTGCAAGCCTCTGGCTTTCATATCTGCATGCCCGTGTCTGGGAATACCAGAGCGAAGTCCGATGCACACCCAGGGGGCTTGGCCCTCCGGCCCGCCCCCTGTTCCACCTGTTGAACCCTCTGCATGCGATCATGCACAAGGCCCCTTCCGCTGCGGGTGCGACCACCTCAACCCCCCCACCCCCACCCTTTATTCATAACCCCACGTTCCTCTTGCAGCGTCAGCAGAAAGTGGAGCTGCTGCAGAAACTGCTGGATGCGCTGCATGCCACCAAGCTGCTGCAGGGGCGCGCGGAGCTGATCGACGCCCGCGTGCCCATCATCAAGTGCTGCATGGCCGCGGCCGGCGGCCTCCATGTCGACATCTCCCTCGGCACGGCCAACGGCGCGGCGGCCGCGCGCTACATTCGCGCTCAGGTGCTGGCGATGCCACCGCTGCGCCCGCTGTGTCTGGTGATCAAGGCCCTGCTCAGGCAGAAGGGGTTCAACCAGGTATTCACCGGCGGCATCTCCTCCTACTCCCTCTGCAACATGGTGCGCCTGTGGGTGGGTGGGTGGGGAACACGGAGGAGCGGAGTATGGTATTTGGAGACATCCACGCTGGTTAAGCTCTGCCTGCCGTTTGATGCAGAGACGTTCATGTGTCTTACCCGCGCGCACGCGCCCCCCTCCCCCCCCCCCCCCTCCCCTCCTCTCCCCCTCTCACCTTGTTGCTCAAAGGTGCTGGCATATCTACAGAGTGAGGGTTACAAGCTGGGCGGGGTCCCCCCGGCCCCCGGCGATCTGAACTTGGAAATGGAAAGTGTGTTCGCCTTCCTGACCAACCTACACTGCGCGAGACTGAATGGCATGAATGCCGGCCCCGCCCCCCCGGGGGTCCAGCACGGCGGACCTGGGGCGGCTGCTGTGGGGCTTCTGCAACATGTTTGGGCATGCCTTCCGCTACAAGCATCAGGCTGTTTCGCCGGCCCGGGGTGGCATCTGCAAGAAGTTACATGCCTGGACTCTGGTGTGCAAGTGGTGGATTGCAGGAGGTGGAGAGCATTTCTTCGGCATTGTTGTGGGTGGTGGAAAGTTGTGCTGGAAGGGCCATGACGAAGCATTGGAAAAGTAACCCCCACGGAATTTGCTTGTTGCCAACACTCTCTTGGCCAGGGTGGGACGAGGTTAGGCCAGAACCGACCTAAGAAAGTCTCCAGCACGACCATCCGTCACAATCCACGAGCTCCCACCGCATGACAGGACCACCGGAGCTGGTGGTTGCTTGCCGTGGAGGACCCGCAAGAGATGGGCAAGGACATCTGTGCAGGGAGCTACGAGATCCAAGGTTGAATCGGGTGCAGGGCTGTGGTTGGTCCTGAGTCTTGCATGCACAGGGTCTGGCGGCGAGGGGGCAGAGGCTGTCCAGTGTAGAGTGGAGTTTGGAAAGACGATGGGAATGACGCAGCTGCCAGCACCCGAGCTGGTGACAGAGAGCAAGCACTACCCTGACTGCTAGGCTGACGGTGCAATCCCCCCTAGGCCTCGACTCCACCCTTGCCCCATGGAGATGTGTCACACCTCTCAGTTGGCAATTGGCCCCCCGCATACTTCCCGGCCTCACAGCTATCCGGGAGATGTTTGCCGAAGTGGCAGACAAGCTGGGAAAGAGCCTGGCAGACCTTGCAGCAATGCAGCAGGCACGGGGCCGCAAGCCAGCCTCGCCCCTTCCCCTCCTGTCTGGCATCGTGGACATGGTGGCCGCCGTGGGTCGCGACGCGTCCGGCCTCAAGTGCGCTGCGGTGTGGCTGTGGGGTACGAGGAAAGAGCGGGAGGGGGTGCCTTGCTGTCGCGAGCTTTTCTGAAGGCGTGCCTTGGACGACATGGAGGAGGCAGGGCTCATGCTGATCTGTCTGTCTGCTTGCCACAGCGCAACCCTCGGCGTCGTCACAGGCCAGGTGATGCTTGGTTCTTTGCGCTATCCAGCACCCTGTGTTCAACACTGTTGCAGGGCACGGCAGGCGCTGGAGGCACAGCAGGCCGCCAAGAGCGCTGCAGTGAAGAGGCTTCGCTCCCAGACGCCGCACCGCCCGTATTACCGCCCATTCTTCCGGGAGAGGTCCTGGGGGGAGAGATCCTGGTGGAAGAGGCGTGAGCGGTACAAGGAGGGATTGCTATCCTCGGATGAGGAGTGGTCTGAGGATGAGTGGTAAAGGTCCCACGGCGTTTAATCGTCCTACCAGCCCAAAAGCTCCACCAGAACCCCTCTCTTGCCCGGTTGTGCGCTCAAAACTTGAGCAACGTCCAAGTCAAAGGTCGTCCCCATGCCAAGAGCCGCACCTATGCTAAGAGCCGCCCCCATGCCAAAAGCTTCGCCTAAGCCCAATCCACCTGGCACAGACGAGGGCACGAAGCGGACACGGGGTTGTGGGGGCGCAGTGGAACAAGAAGAAGGGGTATTTTCTAGAGAGCAGATGCATGTGCGGCGCTCAAGTGGATCTGGGGGTCAAGGAGATTCCCAAGGTCGAGGCCATGAAAGCTCATACATCCTCAGAACCCCTTTTGGAAAGCCTTGGGAGCCGGCGGATTTGCACCTCGTTTGTCCCTGAAACGATGAAGAGCAGCTGCAATCCCTGTCAATGGGACGCTCGAAGTACAAGAAGGAACATCACCCCACCATGGCCCATCGTCCCCAAGCAGCTCTGGCATCAGCACTGCTGCTGCACCTGGCAACGATTCCTGGAGCTTGTGCAGGCAACGAGAGTCTGTGAGGACGACTGATTCACCCGCTCAGCTGAAGGCCAAGGCAGGTGTGGCCAAGAAAGCGCGGCGTGGGGGCGTCGTCAAGGACTTCCAGAGGATCCAGGGGAAGGTGCAGTGCTAGAGGCTTGTCATAGGCGAGGATGTGTCCAGAGACAATGGATGTCAACGAACGAGGAGCACCAATGTCCCCTTGCAATCCCTGATCCTGACCTCAGCTGCTAGGCTGCCTTGCCAGCTGCCAATGAAGCTCTAGCCATGTCCGTAGCCGCATTCGCACTCGATTTTCATGGGCCATGCTGGCATGCGATGTCCCTTTCCCAGCACCCCTGGTTTGCATTATGGACCGATACAGCTGCAGCTGCTGTTGTAGTCATGTTAGTCATCCCCTTCACCATGTCGATGCAGTAATTGTGATGCAATCTGGCAGGCAGCCTGCAGGACCATCCTTCTCTCATTCATGCCAGTCCTCCAGTATCTCAGACGTTGGGCAAGCATGCAGATGTCGAGCGTCACCCTCCATGCCACGGCCCCGGCAGGTGAGCTGGGGTGTTGACGTGTGCGGGGCACTCCGGCGGGCCGCAGGGAGCCCCTGGGCGCCCAACCCCATGTATGCACGCTGGATCCTGGTTTCATCTCATTTTACATGTCCTCGTAGGCGCGATGTCCGGCCAGAAGCTGCACAGTCCCGGCGCAAAAGCCATGTTCACTGCACGGGCATTCAGGGCGCCCAAGCTGCCAACCATGCCTCATGTCCGGGCGGCGGCCACCCAGGCCGTCGATGCCCCCGCCAAGACCGCTCAGCAAGGTGCGATGTGCTCCAGGATCGTGTGCATCGGACTGAGATGGCTTCAGCACAGGTGGATGTCCCATCCATGCCCATGGCCTGGCAGGTCACCGCCACCCCTGCCTCCCTTTCCCCCTCGCCGGCACAGAACTGGAGGGTGGCGTGACGGTGGTCACCGGCTCCTCCCGCGGCATCGGCCGCGCCATCGCGCTACGACTTGGTGCCGCGGGTGGGCGCGTGGTGGTCAACTATGCCGCCTCCAGCGCCGCGGCGGAGGATGTGGCGCACCAGATCGAGGGTCTAGGCGGGTCGGCCATTGTGGTCAAGGGCGACCTCGCCAAGGTGTGTCGCCGGTGCAATGCGCTGAGAGTATGGGAGGGGTGGGGAGGAGGTTGGCTTGGCTGGGGAGCAGACCTGGAACCTGGGCCGGGCTGGTCCAGGGAGCCTGGGAAACATTCCATCCCAGGACTCTCTTACAGCCACCTTTGTTCGGGCTTGAGAAGGGATTAAACTCGCGCTCATGATGCCCGCATCGTGTCGGTCGGGGGCATCCTCCTCGCTCACCTCTTCCCTCTCTCAACCTCCTCATCTCCCCCCCCTCCCCCTTCCCCAGGCGGCTGACGCGCAGGCCCTGATCCAGGCCGCCGTATCGGAGTGGGGCACCATCGATGCGCTGGTCAACAACGCGGGCATCACAAGGGACACGCTGATGCTGCGCATGAAGCCGGAGCAGTGGCAGGCGGTGATCGACGTGAACCTGTCGGGCGTGTTCTACGCCACGCAGGCCGCCACGAAGGTCATGGCCAAGAAGCGGAAGGGCAGGATCGTCAACATCTCCTCTGTGGTGGGGCTGACTGGGAACGCGGGGCAGGTGAACTACGCCGCCGCCAAGGCGGGCCTCATCGGCATGACGCGCTCCGTGGCCCGGGAGTTTGCGGGGCGGGGTCTGCTGGTCAACGCCATCGCGCCCGGGTTCATCGAGTCGGAGATGACGGGCGTGCTGTCCTCCGAGGTTGAGGCCGCCATCCTCGCCAAGATCCCCCTGGGTGCGCTGGTGGTTTGGTGGGCGGTGTGCGGTTGGGCGGGGTGTGTTAAGAAGAGGAGGGGAGTGGGGAGTGCAGACGTTGGAGCCGCCCCATGGGGTCTCACATGTGAGAACCCTCACATGCAGAGCTGCGCCTACATGCATGCACACAGACCCTCTCGCCACCATGCAATAGGCACGTACGGCAAGCCCGAGGAGGTGGCTGGTCTGGTCAAGTTCTTGCTGACAGACCCCGCTGCAGGCTACATCACTGGCCAGGTCATCAGCATCGATGGCGGCATGAGCATGCAATGAGGTGCTTTGATAGGAGTGCAGTGAGTGACGGGGGAACCCTCCTGCCTGCCACCTGTACGGACTTGCGACGGCGGTTGCAACAGACATCGCTTGCAAGGGGGATCAAGACGATGCACAGCATGCTTTAGATGCAGGGTATATACAGCCCGACAAATCCGGATTTAGCGTTGGGAATGGCAATACGTCCCAGGTGCGGCCAACTCCTCAAGCCCACTCGATGCCATTTGCCAGCTCCCACTCTGGCAGTGGCTTGACCCAGAGCGCGATGCCGCCGCCCCTCCCGCGTGCCACAATAACCGAGTCGTCGGCGTAGACGCAAAGGAAGAAGGGACTCTTGGGATCTGGGGAGAAAGTCCTGTAGGGGTTGGGCGGGAGAGCGGTGAGAAGAGAGCTCAGGACCCAAGGCCTCGACCAGGCTCAGGCTATTCTTGGCTCGTCCAAACTACAGTACATCACTGTGAACTGCAATGGCCACTGGTGCTATTGCCACCATGCGCTTTCCCATCCCCAAGACACCAAAGTCAAACCTCAGACGCACGTGTAGTCTTGAAGCCCGGGCCTCTTCAGCTGGATGGAAAAGGCAAAAGGGCCCAGCCGAAGGCGCACCTTTTCGACGTCAAAGGATATTTTCTTCTGCAGTCAGTGTTGGGCCACGCCTAGTTGATGAAGGTGTACAATGGCGACTACGATACTGTCCAGGTGCAAAACAACCCCGCTGAATGACTTCACCCAGATCCGAGATGGCTCTGTCTCAATAAATGCTGGGTAAAAACAAATCACCCACTCACCCCCTTTGTGGCGTAGGGGCCAACGAAAACGAGCGACAGGATCCTGCCGAAGAACACGCCATTCTGGAAGGTGCGGGACGCGGGCGTCCAGCTTTGAACAGCCGTGATGGGGAAGTACTGCATTGCATTGCAGGAATTGAATAGATCAGTCATGGAGAATCGGCATTCTGGCAGCCTTAAAGGGAGTCGACAAGGTAAAGCATTTGCAACTGAAACATTCCTCCATCCACCCATGCATATCATTAACAAAAGCAAGGCTGAGAGCTCCTCCGCACACCATTACTCACGTTCCCTCCGCCTGTCCCCGTCTTGCGAGCCTTCTCGAGGTCTTTGGAGGTGGAGGCAAAGACGAGGCGCCAGGTGTGCCGCACAGTCTCGTCCCCTTCGTTCAGTTGCCGCTCCCAATCGCTAGTCTGGGGCGGTAGGAAGCGGAGGTTTTGAGAGTTTCTGCGCACAGCAAGGTCCCTGGAGTATTATCAATACCTTCGCTGATTCAGTTTGCCGCAGACGACTGTGTCCAAGCAGTAAAGCTTGCCAGATAATCACCCTGACATCTTACTGATTGCTTGGACTTCTCAAGCTCCATCATGGCCGAGAACACTTCGGCAGGAGGCACACTCGCGTCACTGGATGCCAGCTTCAGTGACTCCAGCTGCCGATCAACGTCTGGTGTGGTTGCAGGGCTCGAGGGTGCTGCTGAAGCCCTGCTCGAGATGGAATGAATGTATCGCATGGACTACTTGCACAGCTTGCTAGCATGAAACTATACCAAGCAGACTAAAGCGCCGACTTGACACGCATGGAGCCGCCGAATGCCCCTTCTTCTCCTCACATTGCCGATAGACGGATCGAATTATATCTGGCTCTTCCCCGTCCTGTAATGCTTGATGGACTTCCATGGCAGACTGGCCGGTGAAGACCGGTGCAGGCAATCAGAGCCGTCATAGCCGAATTATCCAACTTCAATCTCTATAATGAGAAGAAATAACCTATTAATAGTAGAACGAGGGCCCGGGGTGGAGGCAGACCTCCCATCAGGTGCGGGGAGGCCGTGACTGGAGAATCAGTTGCACATGAAGATCCGTGCGCACGTGCTTTTCCGATGTGTGGGTTTGTATGGATCCACCCCACATGCAAACCACGACTACCCAAATCATTTTCAGAGACTCTGCACCAAATTGGGGCCTTTACGCCCTCTAAGTGCAGCTTTGAAGTCTGTGTTGGTGCCTTGACCTGTGTTGAGGGCTAATTTGTGTATGTAAGTCGAAGCTGCAGCTCGTGCCAAAACATATTATTGAATGATGCCCATACATGGAATCAGCTCTTTCATGAACAGCAGTGTATTGTGACTGTTCTGCAGGGGCATCTCTGGCACCCACTATACCATAACACCCTGGTTAGGGTTGAGCCCCGGGTTTCTCCTCCCCCGGGGTTTCCGGAATTCGAAATCGTCAGTGTACCTGACGCGACGAATTGATTACCGGATAAGGTGGTTTGCAACATGTCCTCAAACATAAAATTCACAGTTAATGTCTGATTGAGTGTCTCCCAGACCGCTCAGAAGCAGGTGGTGTTCCCAAGGCGACTCCGGTGGGTTATCCCTCTACCTCTGACGCCCCAACATATTGCGCAATGCTGGCTCCCACCGATCACCGGCCGAGCATATTGAGGACCCCCCACCGAGGGGTGGCTGGAACGGCCAACGTGGAGACCGCGGAGCGTGAGCATGAGCGAGCTCAAGCCCGGCTGAAGGCTCGCCAAGAGCAGCTGTCCGGCATCGAGGCACGCCTCCACAGGAGCATGTACGCCCTCCCCCATGAAGCCCAGCAAGCAAGGTGCGTCATGCTGCCTATCACGCCCGTTCGTTCCGAGATGTCAGGGACATTGATGTCCTGGATGACATTGTGGCTGCTGCGACCAGTCCCCAACACAGCTCTTCAATCTCAGCCCCCATCACGCCCGCCGCCATCAGGCTGGAGACACGCCAGGCACTCGAGGCGCACACCGCCTCCCGCCGGAAGGAAGAGGCTGCTGCAGTGAAGGCCGAGGCAGAGTGGGCATCACAGCCGTCCAAAGTTGGAAGGCCGCCCCTCACCCAGCTTCCCTGGTCCGCCAGCACCACCACCTACAACCTCACCCCAGAGATGGAGGTATGGTTTGCATCCAGCTCGGAGAAAGGAATGAATGAAAGGTTGGGCGGTTGATCCCTGCAGATACTTCACCCATGCCTTCCCACCCTGGAGCCCGGCTCCCTCCTCCCCTTCTGCAGGCAGCCATGCGCCGGATGTACAGCACCAGGAACTCCGAGGTGAATCGCGCCGAGTGCCTCAGGCGGACAGCCCAGTCGGCCAAGGCAGAGCAGGAGGAGAAACTCTTGGCGCTGGAGCACTACAAGGCAGAGGTGTGGGGGGCTGACGCGGGGCGCATCCATACCCTGGCAATGGGTACCCAGTTTGGAACTTGCCTCAGAGCCTGACATGCCCCACCGCCCAACCCTCTGCGCACCTGCGCAGCCCATGTTCCCAAGCCCCAACCTCTCGACAGGATGCCTACTGGAACCGCGGGGCCGCCAGCGAGCGGTGGGTGTCGCCGGCCCAGCGCGTGAGACACCACGGCCCCGCACCCGCCGCCGGCGCAGAGAGCGAGGTGCAGCGTGCGGCGCGTGCGGCGCGGGACCGCGGGGCCGGCATGGCCGCCCTGCTCTGCCCCCAAGACGCCCGGGCTGGGTCCGGGGACCCCGGCACGGCGGCGACCGCCCGGACCGCGCGCATGCATTCGCCCATTGTGCACCCCTGGGCGTGAGGCACGCGCCTCGAATGGCTCATCGCAGGGGTGTTCTGGGTCGGGGCTGAGGACGCGGGCATCGCGTGTGCAACTCCAGGGCAGCATCTGCTGGTCATGACAGTCGGACAATGCCATTGCTATCAGTGAAGGTGTACACCCAGCCAGCAAGGCACCGGCCAGAGCACATCCAGGCTCAATTCGGAAAGAAGGGCCCATTGCATTTGAGCAGCAGGTCTGATGCCACGGCAGGCTCTGGGCATTGGCGGAGACCGCAGCTTTGAAAATTCCTGCACCAGCACCCCTGGAGCCCTTGGAGGTCACGCTTGGCGCAGGGGACATCCCCCTCCACGCCACCCCTCGGGCGGCCCTACAGCCAGCCGCCGCCGGTCACCTCCAGGCTCTGGCCCGTGATGTAGCTGGCGTAGGGGCTGGCCAGCAGCAGCATGGACCCGGCCGCCTCCTCGGGGCTGCCCTTGCGCCCCAGGGCCACCATATCCTCCACCCTGGCGCCCTTCATCACCGCGCCGGGGATGCCCAGCGGCACGCGCTCGCCGTCCACCAGGATGCTGTCGCCGCGCTCCTTGGCCTGCACCAGGCGTGTGTTGATGTGGCCGAAGGCCAGCGCGTTGCAGCGGATGTTGAAGGTGCCCCACTCGCGCGCCACCGTCTTGGTCAGCCCCACCACGCCGGCCTTGGCGGTGGAGTAGTTGGCCTGCCCTGCACTGCCA